GTAAGAAATTTAGCCGTATTCACCAATAGCTCTCTGCTACTGGCTCACTTCAGGGCAGAGTCAGCTGGGTTAATCTGCTGATGGAAGTGGCTTAAATTCCCCTGTCTGAATTTGCACAAAGGCAGATCAGGGCTGGGTGATGCTCTCCTTGCTGCAGTTTCTTCTGCAGTTCTCATCTGACCACAGTAAATCTTTAAAGCTAAAGTGACAGGGAGAAGTTGGTGAAGTCACCCTGGCTACCTAAGTTGATGACAGTGGACAAGAGAATCTGTCCTTTCTTCTCTGCTGTCCCTAGATATGCCCTGTTCTTCCAGGACATCATTCTGTTTGCAATAGCTGTCACAGCCTTCCCTGTTGACTGAAGGCTCGTTAATAAGGAAACCTGTGACTGCTGAGCTATTTATGTGTGAACAGCAGAACTCTCTGCTGTAAATGCATGCCACAGGGAGAATGATGGCCTTGAATGACTTCTCATCCTTTCTTTGGAACAGAGTTTGGCGAGCTGGGAAGCGAGGCAGTCGAAAAAGAGCTGTTAACAGGGGCTGAAGGATCTCTGAAGAGGAAATCGGGACTCTCTTCATTCAAGCTATCAAGCCTCATGCCAAAAGAGAAAGGTATTGCTATTGCATAAGTCATCAGTTAGTTTTATTATGAAGTATCACTAACAAATATGCCTGTGCTGTGTGAGGCCAGTTTCTCAGGATGGATCTGCAATGATTGTCTTAAGATGACCTGGACCAACTCATGCAATATGAGCCAGTCTCCTCTGTTTACATCATAACTACCATCTATGCTAAAACTGCCTTGCCATGGCATTGGTCGTGAACTGAAGCCATTCTAGGAAGCCACTGCAAAGGAATAAAATCTATATGCAAGCTAGAAAGAGAATAAATGGAGTATCCAAGGGTGGGATGGCAGAAACAGGGAACTGTGAATTCCTACGCTCCAGTCCTGCACACGTGTGTAAGGGACAGACACGCTGTTATAGAGCTGTGCAATGAAAAATGGTGGGGCAGCCCCACATGGCGTGGCAGCAAAGCTGAACTTGCTTTTGCCCAGGCAAGTTTTCCCTTGAATCTAGCAGGAGCATTTTCTGAGCTGAGGTTAATGCCCCAGCATTCAGCATAGCCCAGCCAAGCACTGGGCAGGGCAGGGCAGGTCTGTGAGGCTGACAGCTCCTGGGCTCTGTGGAGAAAAAGCCTTGGAGAGACACAGAAGAAAATCTGAGCTCCTCCTTTCCCATGAAGACAGCAGCAGGTCTCATTCTCTATGGCTTTTTTCCCTCCTTTCACATCCATCTTTTATCTCTTCTGCTCTCTTCTTGTGTTTTCTTGATCTGACCCCCTCATCTTTGAAATGCCATCGCTTAGTTTTGCCTCCACATTTACGCTAGGCCAGAAGAAAACTCCTGCTGTGACATGCTGTCCCTCTCCTCTGAGATGTTCTGCTGCCTTAGCTGTACCAGCAGGGCTGGGCAATGCAGGTGTTCCCCATGGACCTTCCAAGATCCATCTGGATTGTCATGTACAGGCAGTCACACTGCATCCATGGGGCTAAGCGAGGCTCCTGCACCTGCGCACCCGATGCCCAGGGGATTCTCCAACCGGTGGTCAATGGAATGGCAGAGCATGAACAAAATGTTCTTGAACCGATTAAAAACATTTTCTGATGTCATGCGTGCACTTGTTTTCCACATAGCCCTCCTGGGGTTCTCTGAATCACTGCTTTTCCTCTTCTCTGCAGCACCTTTGTTCGTTGAGGAGCTCATCGATCAGGCTGCTGCCATCGGACAGTGCGTGACGCTGTCGTGCCGGACGGCAGCTCACTCCTCCCTGCGCATTGACTGGTTCAGAGGTGATGTTGGCATCCCTGTAGGGAGTCCCTAGCCTCTGGGACGGGGTTGCAGGGAGGGGTTTTTATACCTTGATGTAAATTTTCAGGGTACTTACCTCTTCTATCTCCTGCTTTTCAGATGGGATACCTGTCCACAGCAGCAGTCAGATCCTCATCTCAGCCACGCTGAAAAACTTCCAGCTGTTAACTATTCTCTCTGTTAGCGCCGATGATTTTGGTATTTACACCTGTGTGGCCACAAACTCCTTGGGCTCAGCATCTACCTCTTGCATTGTAAGAAAAGCAGGTAAGAGAAGCAGCAGCTAGATTTTTATTTTTTTTTTGTCCATGGTAAGTGGTATGTGCAGAACTGGTCAACTCTTAAGGGCTTATGCACCAAAAGATTGTTGGGTTTTTCTCTGCCCTTGTGCTAAATGTGAGGGCCCAGCTGAAATCAGAAAACCCTGCAACTTGAGAGTCAGCAGCAGAGTGGATTTTTTAAAAAAGAGGACCTCTGTAATAGCTAATGCAGCTGTCATTTGGGAGCAAGGACAGCAAGATAGATGCTGAAGGTTAACAGGCTTCACAAACCTGATGTAGTTTGGCAAGCAGTTTTTGAAGATGAAGGCAGCCCCAGGTTTGGAAAACAGTAGTACTCCTGCCCCAAAATGTGACCCTTAAATACCTGTGAGGTGAGATTTCTGCAGATGGGTTCAGGGGACAGTCTCTCCCTTGCCCACCCTATTCCACAGCCCTCGCTTTCTGCTAGCGTGGCACATTTTGCAGGGTTCGTTCCCTCTTCTTCACTATTTAGTCTTTCTCCTGGCTTCGGAGCCACTCCA